CTAAACACTTCTCAGACAGGAGTTGAGAAGATAATCCTAACTAGAGGTTGCATTTAGGTAGTGTCTTCTTCCAAAAAATATTGAGCAAATTCTTGATGTGTTTCAAGAAATTTTAGTACTACTGATAATGGTTAAAAATTAGAAGCTCTCCCTTCCTGCTTAAAGAATGTGGGAATAGCGTTGTTTTATGACAGAAACCAATACAACACTGTAAAGCAATTTTCCTCCAAATGAAAAGTAAATTTAAAAAAAAAAAGGAATGTGGAAATGGTTAAAATCAGATATAACACATAACCAGGGCTACAGAGTCTGTAATACTGAAACTGGAATGCAGCCAAGTATCCCAGCCTAATAAGTCAAGATTCTGCCAATTAGATTATACTGTGTAGTAACCAGCCTTACAAGTGCACCTTACTTCCATTCTTTCATGTTTCAAAGACATTAAAGCTTAAAAACCACCCACAAGCACTGTTACCATGAAGTCCACATGGACACAGATGATGGGTAGGTAGACAGATAGCAAGCAATCATTTGGCAAAAATAATATTTAGATATCACTTCGAATGTATAATATCTGAAAATTAAATTGCTTATACAGATTCTAAAATAAGTGTATCTCCTTCAGTTGCTATATTTTAATGAAATTCAAAGACAAGCCTGTTTCACTACTCCAATAAAAATAGATTTGAATTATTTTTTTCATATTTCTGAGCATCCCCATTTTAAAGATGGCAATACTTGGGACACAGAAAAGTTAAATTCCATTTGTCAAGTTGAAACAGCAATGGGCTAATAAAGAATGAAATGTGCTCTTGCAATTTTTACATTATATTTACATTATATTTTACATTATATTTACATTATATAATGTAAAATATATTTTACATTATATTTTACATTATATTTTGGCTCCATAGATAAGAAAGAAAAGCATTCCTTAATGATATTCATATTATTCCCTATCTACTTATTTTATGTTATTTTGTGTTACATCAGGAATCAACTAATCATATTTTATGCATGAATTCATTAAGAAAGAAACAATGCATGGAAAACACTGTCCCTACTGCTAATAGAATATAAATATAGTATAATAACATTTTCACTTAATGATATAAAAGAATTAAGAAGATTCCATTTAATATTTCTTTGAAGTGCATTCCATTTGCTTAAAATATCAGTAAATACATCCATGAGGACTTTATGATGGAACTTTTTTTTCCTCTGTGTATTTGTGAGGGCCAGGTATCCTGCTGATTAAAATCAATATAGAAGAGTCTTCTAACAGGCTGGGAATTGCAATTCACATGAGGTTGATGCGAACTGTTCAAATATAATCTATATTAAAGAATTAAAGAAGAGAGGGAGGGAGCAAAAGAAGGAAAGAAGAAGTAGTTTCCTTGTTGGTTTTTTTTTTTTTAATAAATTCTCTGCAAGGCAAAGGTACAGATACCGAGTTACACATGCAAGACTTCCATAATTAGAGCATTTTTCCCAATAAAATATAACTTCCCATCACACAGAGTTTAAAAGCATTCCTGATGCAAGTCTAGCCTTAGAAGTGTTCTTAATTTTCATAAGTCCATATCATTTAAAAAGTGATTTTGAGGGAGGAATAAATGCTTTGTGGAACATGAAGAAAAATGACTTCCTAAAAAAGGGAAAAGCTGTGTCTAAGAAAAAACTTGGGACAATTTATGAAATTTCTGTAGAGAAAACTGAGGTAGATTGTCACAATATTGGACTTTAGATATACTTGTATCCCTCCCTCCCCTTTACTGAGAATATTCTAGAAAAGAAAAAAAAAGGCACAGTGTTGTTAATTGTTAATGCATTAAATTAATGTTGACTGAGCACTAATTCCATGCTCCACTCTCAACCAACCATCATCCTAGCATTTGTAGTTGTCTTTGACAAGCAGAGGAAACTGTTTGAAGGTTCCAAATACAAGTGTTATTCTTTTTTGATGGTGTCCAAAGAGATACAGAAAAATCACTTCTATGCATTTCCTCCTCCTAATAGAACTTTACAAAAAACAAGACTTCTAAAGTCAAGAAGGTGGATGATATTTGTGATAGGGAATAGCACATGACATTTAAAACTCAGGCAATAAAAGCTTGGGACATGAGAGAAAAAGGAAGCAGCGTTGGCCCTGATGCTCTGCCATGAAGAGGTGATGGAGATTTCGTTCACAGCAATGTATGGGAGAAGCAGCTAAATGGCATCCATTGAACTTATTTCTTTTCTGACCTTTTGAAGTTGCCAGGTTCAACTAATTTTCTTCTCCTGGTTACATCTGAAGGCAGTTCCAGAGGCAGGAACCAATAGGGCAGTTGAGATACATTGTACATATCACATCATCAGCAACTTTGCATGGGATTCAGATCAGAGCAGACTAAGGGCTCTTCAGTTAATTAAGCCCCACAACATCAGTGGATGGCCTCAGACCATCAAAATATTATTCTGTTCCACAAGTAGACATTTATGAGATTCTGTAAAAAAAAATCTTCCCACACCACAGACAGATGTGTTTGCTTTAAAAGACTAGTCAATATATGAATCCAAGAAGCTAAGAGGGCAAATCAAATCATCGAAAGCAGATGAAAGGGCAAAGGGAATAGGATAAGAATCTCCTATTTGAACCAATAAATGAGTTCGTTATCTAGGGACATTTTCAGGTTTTCTGTAAGTAAGCTCTGTGTGTGTGTGTGTGTGTGTGTGTAAGTAACACCTAATACAGAGCAAAGGAATCAGTCTTGGTTTAATTCTATGCTCTGTAGGAGGTATACAATACACCAAAGGCAGAAGCCTTTCCCAAACTACAAAGCAAAGTTAGTCCATTTCACCTGTGCATGCCAACAGTGTTGAGAACAGAAAAACTGCATTTCCACCATGCCTTGCTTCTCTGAATAACATTGTAAAAAATACAAAAGTACTGAAACTAGTATCAACAGCACCATTGAGCAGAATAGCTTTGAAAAAGTCTTGGGACTTTAGTTTGCATCTATAATGTAAAGGCTAGGCTGTTTTGCTTCTCCCTTGATTTGTCAGACAAAAAACTTTGCTGATGGAGTAGGAAAGAATGGTTGGCAATACAAACTGAATGTCTGTTTTATCCATGACAAGCTTTTGTTTGTGCATGGCGACTTTGCTCAGATTGGAATGTTGATAAAATTGTAAGGCATCCTACCTTAATAGAAAAATAATGAAGATTGTTAATTCTGTCTTTAGAGAATTAGTTACTTCTAATGATAAAGTTACTTCTGAACAGATGCCGATGAAGTGTGGATTCTAACTTTTCTGTCTGTGCTTGATCCTTTTTCCTCACCCATAAACAGAAAGGAACTTCGAGAGGAAAGCCCTGAGGTACAGTTTCCTGAATAGAATCATTACACCCTCATTCTTTGGAGTTTTCTTGCTTTGTTCCAAGAATCAGGTGCTCCCCGCTAACCAGAAGCATCAGACCTTAAATCTGTTCAGTTTACAAAGAAATGTTGCATCATGAGTTATGTTTATATAACAGCCTTTACAAAATGCCTTCTCAAGTGGTCTCCTACATCCTGCAGAGCATGTTTCACAGATTGTTTTGCTGTTTTTTGTTTTGTTTTGTTTTTTAACTTTGAGCGTACTGCTATTGGCTGCTTCTGCTGTGTTCAGTGCTAATTAAGCGGTGGCTTTAGATGAATACTGTCTTGACCAGAGTGCAGCATATAATGCCCACATAAAGTTATTTTTTCAGGTTTAAGACTTCCTTCTTTATCCAGTTGATACATGTATAGCAGGCCAATGGAGCTGCTACTCCAGTGAGGGTTGCTACAAAACTGTTCTTCAGCTAAATTCTTAACACCTTCAGGAGCTCAAGAAATATATCTTGGACACCCACAACGCAGCCAAAATATGTTAAGTGTCTTGGGTGGAGAGATCCCTTCATCGGGAGTCTTGAGAGTTTTAAGAGACTATAGATTATAAGGCAGAAGAATTGATTTTTAAATAGTAATTGGAAAACAGAAGATCCAGGTTGATGGGGGCAACAGTTAAAAAGTTTGCATGACAGCATTTCAGGACACATCTCAGAGAACATTAGCCAGTGTCTCTGAAATATCGGGCTTGTCTGTGATGGCCACGGGATACCTGGGTGCCCGTGTGGATGCTGTGGGGAACAGAACAAAAAGCACAAACTGCCACAGAGCAGCCCTGAATGAAACAGTCCCCAGGGTTGCTGCGGAGCCTCCTCTCTGTTTTCAGAATAGATTTTCTCAACTCCAAGCCCTCTTCAGAGTCCGGGGCGGGGGGGGGGGGGGCGGGCAGAGTGGGATATATATATATATATATATACACACACACACACATACATACATACATATATATATCAAAGGTGATTTAAAATCCTGCGACTGCTCCAGCATGAAATGACTATGCGGTTGGGGGGCTTCCAAACTGCTGAAGCAGATTTACAGAATATTATTAGTAGTATTATTATTTAATAAGAGGAAGAGCCCTAGAATTTCTTTCAGCCAAAGAGCTCAGGGAAGTGGAAAAACATGTCTGGACAGGGTGATTATGGAGAACTCCCTTTGAGGGATTAAAAAAAAGGAACCCTCAGAGAACATCCTCTAAAGGCCTCTTGGTTAAAAGAATCTCTTACACACACACACACACACACACACACACACACACGAAAAAACCCCTGCAAAACCAGACACGACTGATGAAAAGCAAAAGCCAGGCAGAAATTTCAGTTGTGTTTGCCATGAACGACAGGGCTCATTTTGCATGCAGGGAGGTCCAGCGGCCAGGTTGAACGGATGGAAAATCCCACTCTCGAATCTTACATAAATATCTCTTTCCCGCACATAGTCTTCTAGTTGAAAAGCTCCTATAATGAAGCCAGAGGTGACAGCCGAGGAAGGGTTGTTAACCGCTGGGATGGCTGTCAGGAGTGCTGTAAAGAGGGCCGGTGCTTCCTGGGGGCTCCACCCGCCCCCGACCCCGTGCCTCCGATGGGTTTCGCGGTGGTACCCATTCGAGAGGGCAGGGCCAGAGCACCTTCTCCTGAGTCCCCGTTCCCATTCTCGGCCCACAGATACTGTGAAGCCAGTAAAAGAAAACAGCCGGCTGATCGGCTGAGCAGCTCCGGCGCGCTAAGGGCATGGTCGGATCTTGCCTCTTAAAGAGGAAACTCTGCGGAATCTTCAGGAAAGGGTGGTAAAGTTGAAAGGACCCCTTCTCCCTTGCCTGATTATCAGCTCTGTCCTTTAACTGGAGCTGAAGTGGGCAGCAGCCAGGGTGGTTTTCCATCACTGACTAATGTTGTGCGTTTGCAACAATAAACAATTAATGTTTGATTTCTTACATGTAGCAGCCCAAGCAAACTGCTGCCATCTCGGCTCGCGGAGATGAACGGCTAGTCCCGGACGTGCCGCCGGCTCTGGGCCTGCGGGGAAGGGTCTCGGGATCACGAAACTTTGAGGTTTCTGCCAGATTGGATGGGGAAGGCTCTGGTCTTGCGGAGAGGGAAAGGCACAGTAAACTGTGGATACCTGTTGGCATCCTCGTTGGCGGCGGCAGCTTTTCACTGGCTCCCAGGCTTGGCTGGAGCCTGAGAGAACGGGGATCAAGTCCCATATGAACCTGTTACGCGCTGCCAGAACCCGGACAAGAATCCGCTTTTCCTCGGATCCCGCGAGGGGCGCAGCCCGCCCCCCGCCCCCCCACCCCCAAGGGCTCGCGGATCGGGAGGAGTGAGCTGTCAGAAAGCGCGGCTCCGGGCTCTGGCGGCGCTGGGAGAGAGAGAGTCCGAGGGAGTCCCCAGCTCAGCTCAGGAGGCCTCTGTGAGCAAGTCTGGCGGGCTCAGAGAGGACACTGCTTGGGGGTCTTGGGATGCGAGCCGCATCTCGGCGTCCACAGAGCCGCGGGGCCGCTGGGGAGCCCGGCAAGTTTGCAACCGGCACCGCGCTTCCCGGGGCTGGAGGAGCCACTTGTGGGAAAGCCGTGAGCTGGGGCTCTCGCAGCTGAGTCGTGGCCCGCTGCCCCACTGCGGGGGTCGCCCCCCGTGTCCTCGGGATTGGGGCGGTGCAGCAAGCCAGCCAGAGGGCACCCTCACCACCACCACCCCGCTCCCCTTCGCCTCCTTTCTGCTCCGGCGGGCACTTGCCTCTCAGCCGGCGGCGAGTGCTTCCCATTCACCGCACGGACCCCGCAGTGAAGGCGCGCGGCTGCCCCGGGGCCTGCCTATGTCGCCAGGCGGCGAAATCGCCAGGCGACGGCAAGAAAGGGAGCCCGGCAGGAAAGCTGGAGGGGCACAGCCTGCTTGCTTCTCCCCGGGATCTGCTGTCAGAGCAGGTTGCAAAAATGGTCAGGTAAAACCCTGAGATGATCCCATCAGCTGCGCATAGCAGGAAAGAAGATACAGCTCTGCCCCACACTGAGGCAGCGAACCCACAAGCACCATTCGAATGGAAGGAGGCGCGCAGGGTGCCGGAAGGGGCAGGGGGATTCTTTAAAAAAAAAAAAAAAAAAGGTCCCTTCTGGGTCCTCGGGGCATGGATTAAAATGAGGGGTTTGGGTGGAGGATCACTCACTCTTGCGGGGCTCCGCGCGGGCGAATTTCAAGCCTCTTGGTTCACTAATGGCTGGAGGGGTTCGAGGTCGGCTCCCGAGGGCGGTGAACAGCGAGCGGTCCCCGCGCGCTAGGCAGGCGCCTCCGGATCGCGTTCATGCCTCTCGGAGCTGCGGGGCTTGGTGCGGAGACGCGGGGCGGGCGCGCCGGGCTCAGAGTGTCCGCAGCCCAAAGTGCAGCTTCGCTGGGTGGACGCTACCGTCCGTGCACGAACCGGCGACAGCAGATGAGCTTCGGGGAAGCAGGGAGATTCCAAATAGATCCACTAATTCTGGGCTGAGCTCTCCGGCGTGCAAGCCCGCCTGCCTGCCAAATGTAACTGTGAAGTGATGTGGAAAAGTGAGTCGGGTGCCTCCCCTGACGGATCTCATTGGGCAGAGCGCAGAGGCAGGTCTACCACTTGGAAATTCGTGTAAGCGGGCCCCCTCCCCGCCCCCTCCCTGCCTCCCCCCACCGGCGCTCTGGCGCGCTCGCTCCTCGGTTCTCGCCCGCTACCAAGTGGGCGCACAACTTTTCGCTCCTCGCTCTCGAGCGCGCCCCGCGCGTCTCCGCCTCCGGAGCCACTCGGGGAAGATGCGCCCTTCCGTGCGGTGCGTGCGGCCCGCGGAGGGCCAGGCTCCAGGGGAAAAGGGCTGGCAGACTACAAAAGGATGCGGACGAGTGTACCCGCGAGCTTTCTCTCTGAGTCTTCCCGGAGCTCTGGTGCTAGCGAGATCTTGAAAAGCGTCCCAGTGAACCACGGCTGTTTTCCTTGGGAGGAAGAGGACGCGACAGGGCAAAGGGGTGCGCGTGGGCGGCGTGTCTGCTCTTTAAGCCAAGATCCTCAGGCAGACCGAGTGGGGTGTCGGTAGGACCAATGCCTGCTGCTCAGACGCTGTGGTTTTAGAGGCACTGGGTCGCGGTCCTCTGGGTGGTGCGCATTCCTCATATCCCCAGGCTTCTACTTCTTCAGGGAGATGGGATGAGGAAGCGCAGACGGGCAGACGCAAGGGGCGCGTAAGTAGGTGTGAAAAAAGCAGAACTTGCTTGGGAAATAAAAGGAGAGACTGCTAGGTCTTCTTAATGTGCCCTTGCCTGCAAATCTCTCGGGCATCAGACTTCTAGCTCCTTTGCTTCCGCCACGAGATGCGCTTTCGAGTCCTTTGATGGACTCCACTCAAACGTTGAGAATTGCCCACCATGGAGGAGAGCCCGTGCAAGAGAAGGAATCATGAATCAGGAGGTCCAGATTTCTTTTCTTCTCATCAGTGAGGCAAATACGTAGAAATAGGCAGCTATTTTAAATAAAATTTGTGAAAATGACTATGAGCTAATCCTTATTCCTTTGTTTAACTCCCCTCTACAGAACACTTAGTCCATTCTCTGTGCACTAAAGCTGAACTTTGAGGAAGGGTTTTACTACCCGGGAACAGAGTCAGGAACGGAAGAAGAAAGAAAGGGTATGGAGAACCAGACAAGAGGTCCGTCCGTAAAGCTTGTACTGTCTGACTTCAATTAATTAGAGTGAGGAAAATAAGAAAATAGACACAATATGCTTATAGTATTTATGCAAATTTGACACTTTTGTGTCTGTTGCATCTACCATGCCATTGTGAGATGGTGAAAAGAATGCTGACTATAGGTCTAGTATCTGTTTCACATTCTAGCTGATTTAGGGAAGAAACTGAATTATTTCAGAGCAGGGAGAAGTGAAGAGAAGCAGGAAGTATTTTCCCACGATACAGTCACTAAGTAACTGATCTCGTCTCAGACTCTGTCTGTTTACAGGATATTTAGAAATTGGCTAATTTTGTCTTGGGAAAAGGAACAGTAGTCATGCCTCAGTCATATTATAACTGCCGCTGGACTGGACAGTCCCAAGTGGAGAGAGAAACAGATCACATCTTGGACGATGCTTAATTTTCACATTCATTTTCACTTTGAACAAATGCTCTGAACCTTTCCTTAGGGTACCTTCTTACATCTGTGAGAATTAAAGCAAAGGTTATGTGTTACTGAAGCCTGGGAATTGTTCCTAGTAACAAAGTCACCTCAAAAGCAAGCTAGAGTGTTAGAGCTAAACAGTATCCTCAAATCTCATTTCTTAATGGTAAAATAAAACTATTTTAATGACAAAGTGAAGAAAGTCAGAATCCAATGGCTTTAGTTACCTTGGGTTAGAATGAGTTTATTCTGACTCACCTTATCCATGTTTATTCTCAGAGCAGTTAAATACACTGTCCTAGCTGACTTTTGGCCATCTAGATTTCAAGGTAGCCCCCTCTATGTATATATTGCTCATCTCTACCCAAAGCACTGCAGTAGGAATTTCCTATAATTTTCTCTTTATTCTTAGGAGAGGCCGGGATGATTAAGCAGTGCGAAAGAGGATTAGGATAATGTTAAAAAGCCCTATAAGGATATTTCTAAAATAATCAGGGAGGCTGAAAGACAAGGCATTTGCCTCTTTAACAATTCCACCCCCTCTTAATAGGATGCAGTGCAATGTCACAATGGTGAGAACCTAACTCCTTAAGATAGTTTTCTTTCAACGTCCTCTTCAGAGTGACAGCCTTCTAGCAGGAAGAGGACTGTAACATAGGCTTTGTAGGATGGCCACTAAAACTGCATGTGTCCTGGAGTATTTTGGAGGAGGAAGGGTAGGGAGTTATCTGATAGGGCAGCAGTATAATCAGAGAAGCAGTGGATGTTGGGGGAATAGGAGAGGGAAGACAACATTCAGAATAACCCTGGCTGACTGATGCTAGTGTAGGAAGAGGCAGAATGTCTCCAGCCTGTGTTTCAGTGACAGGCAGACAGTTCTGCACAGTTCTGCAGACAGTCTCTGCAGTTGAATGAGATGGAGGGTAACTCCATAGAGTAAAAGGCACTTTTGTTTTTCTTGAGGAATGGGACTTTTCTTCTAATTTTGAGTAAAAATGACAGTTAACCAAGGGACTGATTAGTTGGAGGGGGTTAGAATCTGATGGCTTCCTCTGCCCCTGCAGGAAGTGAGAGGGAGAGACAGGAAGACTTCAGCCTCTACAGTTGAAGCAGGAAATGGCAGAATGGAACATATCTATTACTGCCGGAGATAAAATTCAAACTTTTCATCTTTTCCTTCTTCACTACATGATAAAGAAAAAAAAAAAAACAACTAAAATTAACTTAAAAATGTGTTTATCATGGTATGATTACCAAGAGCTTTCAGATTTATTGGATTGCTTTTAAATTTAGATTAACTAAGTAATTCGTTCATGGGATACCTCTTAAAGGTAAGGCTGAGGAGTGTGGATTCCATGAATGAAAGGATTTTGCAGTGTGATACCTACCAAGGGTATTTCAAAATAAGGTTTAAAATAAAAAGCTGAAGAATGTGAAATATGAAGAAGGCAAAAAATTACACCAATTAGTATGTGATCTTTTCTAGGAATTCAGAGAACTTTTCTCACATTTCATCTTATGGAATTCCAATTAAAAATCTGAAGATGACTGTGTCCTTTTTTTTTTTGGAGAGGGTGCATATTTTATTCTCAGTAGTGTATTTTCCTGAGAAACATATTTTATATATATAATATAAAAAGATATAAGAACTGTGCCATTAGGTAAAAAAATAATTTTTCTTTTGAAATTTTAGTTTGACTACCAATATTTGAGCCTAAGTCATAAGAATGGAAAGATTAGGAAAACTGTTTTAAGTTCAAATGTTTAAATACATTAGAAAAGTTGCCTTTTTCTTTTTTTTTAAGTTTAAGGGTTTGTTTAAACTAGGTAGGAAACCAAAATCTTGAAAAGTTGTGATGATGCTCAAGTTAAGAAAATGTGAGCATCTATAGTGGTTCTCAAACTGTCTCAGGCTGAGGTGCCGCCTCTCCATCTTCAGGGCACTTGTTAGAAATGCAGACATACCTGCCCTGGACCTGGGTGGGGCTCAGCAAGCTGCCTTTTATCAAATACCCCAGGGAATTCTGTGACTTGCTAAAGTTTGAGAACTACTGCCTTAGGCTATTCTTTTCTCAGATGATCTATAAAAAGAAGAGAATAATAAAAGTAAAGTAGGGTATTATATGAATACTTCTTGTCTTCATCCAGGAATATTCTAAGAATACAATCCTAAAGAAAAAGAAAAGTGTATGCACACTAAATTTATCGTGGGCTTGCTTCACCACTGTTTATTGCAGGATCTGAAAAACTAAACTGATTTCTCTAGAAGTGATTATGGATTCGTGGGGTACAGTCATCACTGGACTGTATTCAGAGATGTGATGCTCTGCATTTCTTGGCTGCTGGTTTTAGCTATCCTGAAATTAGACCTGGATCTCTTAATATTGACTGTAACTACTAATCTTGAACTTGCTATTATATTTTCAGTAAATGAAGGTATAAACATTTTGTGAAAACTACATCTGTGCTGAGAGCATTTTGGAGAAGTTTTTCAAAATGGCATTATCTCGCATCGTCCCAGGTGCTAGAAAAGAGATAAGCTCCAATTCGGCTTCTAAACAGAAACTGACTGGTGGGGGTGGGGGGAGGGGCAGTAGATAGATTTAAAGGGACTGGTACAAAGCTATCAAATAAGCCAGCCCAGGTTTGGTGGACTACACACATTTTCGTTTGTTGTTTCATTGTGGATTTTGGTTTTTAGTTTTCCTGAAAGTGAACTGCAGCTAGATTCAGATTCCAGATCCCTCTTGTTTAATATGGGAACCAAGAAGAAGAAAAAAATAAAAATGATTCATACCATGCACTAAAAAGAAGAGAAAAAATGGAGGGAGTTTTCCTTCCAAAATCCCCTACCCCACACTATTAGTTCCCAGATACAATTAATTTGTTATATCAGATTGCTTTGGCTATTAAAACATAATATTAAATTTAACTGACCTTACGTCTGATTTAGAAGATGACCATCACTTGGAATTTGCACACTTATACTAATGCATTAGTACACATGTATAAAAGAATACAAATGTAAGGGGGGGAGGCACATCAGCATTACTTATTGTGTCTAAAATGGGGTTTATCATTCTGGTTACTTGTTATCAAGTTGGTTACTGGACAAGACACTACTACATATGCATTCGACAAATGTCCCAAGAAGTTGAAAAGGAATTACATTACTGAGAATATGAACATGATTTCTTTATTAGTCAAAGCTGCATAAAACTATCTAAAGATTTTTTTGTTTGCTTGTTCATTTATCAAAGTCATGCTGCCTGGAGGAAAAAAAGTGCACAGGCTTTCAAGTGGCCATCTCCTTCCTGCCTGCACAGACAACTGGCCCTAGCTGAGCGATGTCGAAGGGGTTTTTTTTTTTTTTTCTTTTTTCCCCGCCTCAAGCGCCCTCTAGTGTGCAATATCTGCGTAGGTTGCTATATAGAGGAAGGTGGAGAGAAGAAAAGAAATCTACCAGTCGCTGCCCTAGTTCCTGAATTGCTCCGCTTCTCTTTTTCTCCTTCCTCAGAGGGGTCATTTCCACCTAAGTGTTTGGCAAAACAAAAGAGGTGCTTTGCTTTTGCATGAAAAACAAATCACTCATTTACTAAACTGGGAAACAAATGCTAATCCTTTCTCAGGGGTTTCTTTTGAACATTCATCATAATTTTCCAGAAGTTTCATACACTCTAGTAATCAGGCAAATAAAAGAAGGTAAGTTGCTCCCTAGGAAGAAATTCCATTTTGTTCCTAACTCACTGCAGCCTGGCTATAAGACATCTGATGCAAATTGATTAACCTCTCCGTGG